TTAATTTTTTATAAGTAAAAATTGGCACGAATAAATTGGCGAATGTAAGCGTAGATAAATAAAATAGAGTGCGCCGCACGGGGCCACCCACCGTAGGTCCACGATCGACGTTGTTTCCGCTCGAATCGACGAAATGCAACGAGTCCAGCTAAGATTCGTTCGCTCGCGTATGACAAACGATCGACCGTAACGTCGAATTAATTTTCAACCGGTCGGCATACGTTTGATTGAGTCTATCGGAGCGTATTCGCCAGGATGCATTGACTCCCTGTTCGTGCGCGTATGCTGTTCCTATGCTCGATAGTAATCGATCGACTGTAAAATACTTGCAAGTAGGGTAACGTGACCCATTCGGTTGTCGAAATTTTTTTTAAGCCACGCCAACTGTCAGACCCATTTGCAGCCGCCAGGTGACGCGATTTTTTCGAAGGTCCTTTGCCGTTGGAAGTTAAATTCAAAGATACGTAAACGCCAGTACTTGGCGTTTAAATTCTAAAATTATTTTACGCTGCTTTTCATCGATATGAAACTGCGCTAAAATTCAAAGTTTTCTGTAAATATTCCGTAAATCTGTTGTACATTGTAACGAAATAGGGAGCAATCGATATTTTGTAGATCGGTTGTCTCTTTTATCGCGCGATAAAACTTTCAACGACGTGCGTTTATGTATAAGCTTTCTTATTTGCGCAGATCAAATATATATTTGATCGACACCGTATATACGCTTCTACTTTTACAACAACAGTAATAAATGTAAACGACTTATAAACTCGAGAGTTTACGAGTTTAAACATTTTTTTCTTTCCAACGTATTTATCTCTTCGATTAGTAATCCGATATAATTGTTGAAGGAATGGTGGATAACGAGCAAAAAGCAACAGGAAGACATTTTATTACCCGTTTGACGCGGCAATGCGTTATTACATGGAGCGTTTCTTCTCTAACATCGTCCTTCTTCTGCTTTTTCCGACATAGTAAAAACCGCGAGCCGACCTGTAGACGTTTACAGCACGCCATCGAAACAATGAAGAGGAATCGAACCCACGACACGCGGGGAAATCTATCGCAGCATCTCGGCGGAAAAAGCTGGCGAAGCCAGAGCTAATGGAAATCGATGTAAAGTGGCTCGTAAATAGAAACGCGATGGGAGAATATTTCGTTGGTTCGTTAAACGTTAGACTGCAGGCTGTTAGAATCCGTGGCATTGATCTTTGGTTAAAACGTCTGTCTGCTAAGCAATCCACGTTGTAACAGCAAATAAGCAGAGAACAGGTACCTACCTTTACGACCTGTAAAGGGAGGTGCGAAAAACCAGCTCGACTCGTCGTTCGTATACACCTACGCGATTTACACCATTCACAGATGCACGTTTACTTTTGAACGCGTTATCTATTAAGCGTAAAAAATTATAGAGACACGGTAACTCGGATATTAGAATAATTTACATCGGGCTATCCGGTATTTCCAGAGTAACGAAGAAGATGATGGTTCTTAATCTTCGCTCATTGATCTTTGACAAGCCAGCTGTACGATCGATTATTGTGCAAGATTTATCGAGCTACATTCCCATTCTATTTTGTTTGTACACGAGTGTGTGTGTGTGTTGTTGCCGTTTCTTTTCATATACTAATGGTCTACGTTGGAAGCGTTACTATCGATGACCGATTTATGATTCCGTGGACAAATGCAAAAGTTAGGTGATCGAGTCCTAAGACTGATCGTAATACTACGAAGGTTTCCGCAAACTTATTTTCATATGCTACGATGGGTTGTTCGTTCGGTGCTTAAAATATACTTACACGATCGACTTTAAACCGATCTTATACACGTATAAGAAATAAACACAATAAAATAACGAAAAATCCTTATAAACGACGAGGAAAGAATTATACGTTTCGTTTTAATAACTCTTCGTTAACCAGTAATCGTAAGTTAGGCTTTTCTGAATCGGATAATCACGTTCTACGGTCATAGTCTTTCTCCAGTAGACGTTCGTACATACCGATCGAATGCACATTGTCGTCCATTCAGGCAACAAGGTGAATTATTCGGAATGCGACATTAATGTCACGGAAAGAGCAGATCGTTGAACGCGCGTGATTGTTTGTTCGGTTCTGTGTTAGAAGAAAGTAAACAGACACGGGGGCTACGTCGGTCTGCGAAATTCAATAGATGCGTTCGGCACGCGCGGCCGCCAATTAAATTCCAGCGCAATTTATCTTTGACAATTCTGTCGGCATTCCGTATTAGTCTCGCCGGCTTTTCGACTTTGCGTTACCATCGCCACCCTGCACGACGTTCTTTTATCTCGTTCCGTATCATGCCCACAGAAGAAATCCTTCTAATGCCACGCTAACGATAAGGAACGCTCGCTCTAGAGATGAACACGTCGCGGTTCTTTGCTTTATATTGGTCGAATATATGGCCGGTGTTGCTATCTCTTTAAAAATGAAAACAAAGTGAGAAACAGCGCGCAACCCGTTCAGCGAAACACGTTGCCTGACAGGACATTTTGTCTGCGAGTCATCGAGTCGAGTTTATCCTAGACGCTTCCGGTCGATCCTGGTAATTTGCTCGTCTTCCTTTTCTGCTCCTTTGACTGGCAACCTCAATTATTCCCCGGCCAATGACCGGTTGTCATTGACAACCGCAGTGACAGGCAAGAATGGACCACCCCGAAGCTTTAACCACACACCTCCAAAGATATACCTATCCAGTTATATTTCCTCGTTTTGTTTCAACGTCAAGAGGACGACTTTCTCGACGAAGATTCTCGAGTAAAACTACAGCGAGGTTTACACCGATCTCCTACAGGATTAGCTAAATGGCTAAATAAGATGCGTCGATAAGCCGATTTTTCTGTTGGCTATAAATCACCGGGATCGCTATAGGTTTCGCGTGGCAATTGAAACGTCGATGACATTTTTGCCTGTGACGTGGATACTTTGGGGTTATAGTTGACGCGTACACTGGACGACGATTATTTACACATAATACAATAATTACAATAATTCGAACGAAACATTTCAATTTCGTACGAATGGAGTTCAGTTGCGATAAGATTTAAAATTTTGACGTTGAAGAGTAAGAGAATTATTCGATAATAATTCGATTCGATGATAAACGATTATGAAGAGAAACAATTACTGCTGCACGCGATATGATGGAATCGCGACGACCAAAAGCAGAGGAAAGAACGGGTGGGGGGCTGATCTCGGTTGGGCCAGCACGACCAAAAAGTCAACTAAAATTGACCTACCTATCAGGTTCGATCCGAAGGTTGATTGAATCCATATTTGGATCGATTCGAGTATAACCATTGGAAGAACCGCGCACGTAGCCAATATACCGGGTGACTCTGCCCTAAGCTCAAATTCGTTTATCGAGTTTGTCCATCAAATTCTTTGGAACGTCGGGTACGTTCATATCGCTGTACAAGCGAGTCATCTTTAATTCCCTTTATCGAATCGTAATCGAATTATTCGCCTGTAGCGATCAAAATCGCGATCAAACGTTCACGAATCTTCGTGTTTGCGAACATCGAGCATTTCTTGTAATATCGGTAAAAGGATCAAAATATATAGGCGTATTTTTTAAAACGACAAGCGACGAGCGATATTTGCGGCAGAAATTACAAGTTTCCGTTCCGCTGGAGAAGAAACTTGTAATTTCTGCTGCGAATACTTGTCGTTTTAAGGTGGCAGTTTTTTAAACGTATCGTAGGTTGCTTCGTAATATCGACGTAATGTTCGTTCCAACGACCATCTTGCATTGCTACTATTAACGACCTAATAGCTACGGTCAACCACACTTAATTAAGATCGTACGGAAAAATCAAATTCTGTACGTAGAATCGGTTTAACCTTCGACGAGCAAGTATATAGCTGTATTCTATTTTTACACGATGTATAAATACATATACGAGAACGGGGAAAAAATTAGTTTTCAGCTTAGCGTATGGAATTAAGAGTGGAAATTTTTCACCGGCGATATATAGAGAAAGGATCTGTATACAGAATTTATCCGTGAAAGGAAAACAGTTGCGCAAAGTTTTCGTTGTTCCGCAGCTTCGCGGCAGTGTTCACGAGATCCACAGAAAAAAGTAGCCTGTCATGAACGGATTCCAAGCACTTCTGACGTTCTTCGGCATCATCGCGATCGCGGACACCGATCCATCGAAGAGACAAGGCAACGGACGTGCAAACGTATACCATGGTAGGTAAGTGCACTAGCAGCTTGCCACGGTTACCACGTTTCGGCTAGGAAATCCTCAGCTCGATGCACTCTACCACGCGAACCGTTTGTCCAGTCGACCATTTCGTCCGACCTGATCCGATCGAATTGTTCTCGCTCTTTGTCTTTCGCCTGTCTCGCTTGACTGTCCGAGTTTGGCATCTCGCTAACAAATGCCCCATAACTTTCCCGGCACGTTCTTTCGTTCTTCCGCTCTCTCGACCGTGTCATCGAGGATTTTCCTTTGCCGAACGGAACAACCAGAGACGATCGTATTGCGTCGCTCGTTTCGAAAACTTGCGCCTTTTTGCCCGTTGCAATAAGTTTGCCCTTAGTTCGATCGATGATTAAAGTTTAGGGACACGAGAACCGAATAACTAGGCCTTGAAGTTGTCGGGTTTGGATTGATACAGGGTTGGGGATGAAATAGGAGCGTCACGCTGGAAACGAGGCAAGTTAAGGTGACAAAGTTTTCGTTTAGTTTTTTGTGCACTTACGAGTGCCGAAGAAACGAAAGATCTTGATCGATTGTGCTTTACGAATTCAATAACGAAGTTTAATAACCGTGTTTCCCAAATTCAGCACGCAACCGAATCTCATTTAGCGCCTCTAGTTCGAGTTGATTCGAACAAGTACGTTTAACGCTTTTTCTACGATGCCGTTGCAAATCTTTCGACGCGACTCGCAAAGGCATTCGTGGAAAACATTTCGGAAAATATGCAGGCGCGAGTAAGAAAGAGCGATATGCGAAATTGTTGCGGGAACGAGGATGCGTCGTTCGTACGTTCTTTAACGAAAACTCTTCTCTTCCCGGTGGTCGATGTTCAGGTACACGAGAGACGTCCACGAGCCGGAATTTTTGATCCCGAGAAGAGTGTTCGAAGATGGCAGCTTCGACACATACTCGTTGCCGTATTTCTATGATCGGCAAGAGATCAACGAACGTAAGAAAAGGTCGACCGAGACGGGCGAGCAGGAGCTTGAGGCCGATAAAGTGCACCTGGTGCTGCCTTTCAACGGGATCGAACACCATGTGGAGCTCAACCCGTATCACGAATTCATCTCGCCCGACATGGTGATCGAGACGCGGGGTACCGGCCTGAGAACTAACTTGAACGAAGCGTTACGATTCAAGAGAGCCTCCGATCGACAATGCCATTATCGGGGCTTTGTTAGAGGCCATCGCACATCCAAGGCAGCTCTTTCTCTCTGCGATGGTGTGGTTCGTAAATACTATCCTTCTTATCTACGTTTATTTTTAATTAAATCGTCTTGAAAGCTCGAAGGCATAAAGTCGTATTATCGAAGTTTGCATTGTCGTGAAATTTTCCCACCTTCCGCCCCCCTCGCAAAGCACACTTCTTGGTTCGAAGATAGGTATGAATACGATCGAGGCCAACAACGTATCGAACCTAGACTTCGTGGTTAATTCTTGCCGATGATCTAGCAACTCCGGAAAGATTTCGTACAATTGAATTCGCTAGACTAGACACGCTCCGTAACGATATAATCCACGATGAGAACACGGTGGCGTGCGTCTCTTCGAGGCTAATCAAGCCTCTTATTATGCACTTAAGCGGATGCAAATTAATATGAGGTATTTGCATTTAGATGGACGCGTACCGGGACCGTGTTGCCGATTCGACGCGACGATCGATTGTTTTGGGATCAAAGCCAGCATGCACGATCGTTCGGTCGCGTTTAATGGTTCGGAGTCTCGGTCGATTCCCGGGAGAATTTCGAGAATTCAACTGCGAAACATGCAGACAGAGTGGCTCATGCTTTCAACTTGATGCAATTGCCGCGCTGCGTTGCATAGCGAGACGCGATCTGCATAATCTCCTCCTCTCGGTGACAATGATCCGATTCTGCTTGCACGCCGGGAGGCCTGATACGAACTAAGATAGCGACGATAATTCAGAAATCGGAAGTAGACGATGATTCGGAGAAACGAATTTCGAATTATCTCCGCATAATGGCTTTTTTAAGTAAATCATTCGAGCAAAATCGGGCTTCCGAAAGGGCCGAGATTTAGAAGCGGAATAACAGCATGAGATATCGTAAGCTTGGCCGTCGAGTCGTTGTCGACTTATTCGGCTCTTAAGGGGTAAATAAGTTAAATAAACGATATAACGAGTCAAACGAATAAAAAAAAAGTTGAGCAAATTGTTGAAATATGGTTGCAGCAACGTGGGTAATCGAATACCTATTGTATATCGGCAAGTAGCTACCATTGGACGACGCTTATACAATTCGTCGAGTATAATGTAGCCATCGTGTTTCCTTCCGTTCAATTTTACGTGTTCGATCGTTACTCTCGAGGAAAAGAAACCGTATCTATCTCGTTGGTCTTTGGAGCGCGTATTTCGTAGGGTAAAGCTCGGAAGGTAGGAATGTCGAAAGGCGAGGAGGCGGCCGTAATTTAAAAGACACCTTCTGGTTAGCGTTCCCAGGCGCGTCGTTGCTCGTTCGAGGCGGTGAAGTTACTCGAGCCAGGTATTGTAACTACCGGTGAATCGAATCGACCACATAGAGCGTTATTGAATCTGTAAATTTTCGCAAATATCACGGCGCACGGTACGCGCTCTTCTCTGGCCTGTAGACCACAATTTCCCGTGAATTACCGAGGACCTGTTTGTTTGCGCTATTGGGAGACGCGAAGCCCGAATTTTGAATTATACCGTTAGTTCTAGCTACGATAAATGTTGCGCGTAACAACCGATCCCCTAATTAGGATCGTTGGATTGTAATTTCCAAAGCGTGGCCGCGTAATTTCGTGATCCGCGAATGGAAATTCGGCACGGATTCGGTGGGTTTAAACGGGCAAGAAACGCGGTCACGTAGCCACGCCACGCCGGCACGGCACGGCGCGGCACGGCACGGCACGCGTGCACACACGTATCATACGCGAGAGAGAAACTGCAATTACAAGTTAGTTCGGTATCGACGTCGTTCTCGGTGTTAACCCGATTGGGAGGTTCGCGTAATTGCATCTCTTTGCAGGCGTCTCCTGCCGACGGAACCGAGTCCCATATCTTATTTACAATAACGTTGATTAACGAAAAGTCGATAAGTGGCTGTGGATCTCGTGCAGGTTGGTTACGTGCAAACTAATCATGGCCGGTACTTCATCGAGCCGGTGAACGAAGCAGAACCGCAGCCGGATGGACAGCACGTTCACATAGCTTACAAGCGGGATGACTGGCACGAAAAGAAGGAGAGTCGGGACGATTCTTCCAAGAATTACTGCGGAACTTCCGGTTAGTAGTCGTCGATTTATACGAGTCTACTCTTCGCCGCGATATCTCTTCAAAAATTTGTTGTCCGTGAATTTTACAAGATCTCTTTTGCGAAGAGTACATTTTAAATAAACCATCTGCATCGAGGATAGAAGATAAAGGCCGATCTTCGAAACGGATAAAGCGATACGAGCCGTTGTCGTTCCGTTTGCAGATGACTGGGAGGCGGCGTGGGCGGAACAGTTGGCCAAACGACAAAAGCGACTAATGGAAGAGAATCCCGAGGTTGGTAAGGGCACTTCCTTGACCCACAGTATTCATCGCTTCGTAGAGATTGGATTGGTCGCGGACAGAAGGTTTCTCGACTTTTACAACAACAGCAACTACGAACAGTACCTGTTGACTATCATGAACATGGTGTCGGACTTTTATCACGACAGATCTGTCGGCAATCAAATAGACATGGTCGTCGTCCGCATTATATATTTGGAGAAGGAAAAGGAAGAGGTAACGCGTAACTAGTTAGAGGACTAAAAATACGAGAATCCGTTTTAGCAATTAATCCACACGGGATGAAGAATATCGTAAATGTTGAAAGTGAGATATTCGAGATATTTTATCAAGACGGTTTTCCCGTAGATAGATCTGCTTATTAGTCCCGCAGCCGAGGCAACGTTAGCGAGCTTTGCCAAATGGGCCCAAAAGATGAACCCTACGGATCACACTCACCCCAACCATTACGACATAGCAGTTCTTGTAACTAGGTAAAATTTTACTTCATCGAGAGTAGAGAACGATCGTAACGAAACATCGTAACGTGCGTTTCAGGTACGATATTTGCGCGGAAGGCGCACCGAATTGCAATCTGATGGGCCTGGCGTATGTCGGAACTGCCTGCGATCCCGAAAAAGCAGCTTGCATCACCGAAGATAGTGGCCTATTGCTTGGAATCGTAATTAGCCACGAAGTTGGTCACGTGTACTGTCCATGCACGTTTCTTTACCAACCTTAATCCCTTCGCTTCTAGCGATGTTTCAAAATCCATTAAAAGCACGAATTCGTTTTTTCGACACGCTTTAACGAAAACTCGCTTCGGAACGTGGAATCGCGACGAACAAGCGGGATTCATTTTGCCTGATTTTTTAGCTGCGAAGGGATTAAGAGATAGGAGTCGAGTGGAACAGAGGACTTTCTTTTCGAAAATATTCCATTCGGAATTTTTCGCGACAATAGGTGGTTACAAAAGGGAAGTAATTTTGCAAGATGTGATTTTCCAGGATGGGCTGTTCGCACGACGATGTCGCTATCAGTGGCTGTCCACCCAAGGATAACGATAACAGTTATTTCCTCATGTCACCCATTGTCAACATTTATTCGTTGAGATGGTCGACTTGCAGCAGGAAATACATCACTACCTTGCTCGAGTAAATCTTTCGATATATGTATGCTTTGTTTTACTTTGTTCTATCGCGAGTCGAAAGCCTCGTGTCGATCGATTAGGAGCGGCTTGGGCGAGTGCTTGACCGACGATCCAAGAAATCCGCCGGAGAAATTCAAGTATCCGGACATGTTACCCGGTGCGATGTACGACGGCAATTTTCAATGCGACATGAACTTTCCCGGGTCGAAGATTTGCCCTGGCGATACCGGGGTATATTTCCGTATTTTCTCTTGCTATTTGTAGAACGTCGTTTATTTATAGGACACAGGATGAATCGAAAATTAGTATTTCTGGTAAACGCACAGTGTAGAAGGTCAGTTTTATCGAAACTTTATCGCACTTACCTAACAGATACTACCTATGCGTTTAAAAGATTGCTTCGCAAATCTTCGAAACAGGTTTATCAGTTTTCGTAGAATTGCAAATAATTGGAGAATAATTTTAACAGAACGCCACTTGCTTCTATGCACGAATTTATTTAGAAGTTGAGATCGAACCGTTGCTCGGCAATCGTATCGTATCACATACGGTCGGTCTAGAAACGACTCGGTTATTCTCACGGGGAACAGGTCGATGGATGGGGTTTAACTTGCTCATAGCGAAAGTTACTACTTCGCGTTTTATATATTTCGTTAAACCTCGAAGAATAATTTGATTATCCTCGTTCCTATGGCGAACGAACGTTCCGTATGTTTCAGCGAGATGCGATGTGCGAGATGCTATGGTGCGAAGGGAAGAACGGAAGCTGTTTCTCCCGGGGATCACCCATGGCCGAAGGATCAAAATGCGGCGAGAATTTGGTTCGTTGAATTGGATTTACCGAGAACAAAAGCGCACTCTGTAACAGTATCAATTTATGCATTTCTCCATGGAAATTATCGCGCCTTAAACGTCTCTCCAGTTGCGCCTTTGATCGCGTTACCATTCCAGTCGTTACTTTAATTTTTCGTCCTTTTTCTTTTAAGATAAAATTACTCGCGCACTTTTCATGTAGCTATTTTGCAATCGTTGCTCCTAGTTGTCCCGTTGACAAAGGATTATACCGTAAAATACGAGAGCAGAGAGCGCAGTCGAAAGAGAATAATTTAAAATTTCTGTGACGCGTCGTAACTCACGTGAAAAACGCACAAAGCTCGCTGTAACAATGCGAGCGGTGAGTCTAAGCAGAAATGTTCGTACGAATAACAGCCTTTGTAAAGTTTCGATCTGTCGTAAAAAATGTAAGACGCGGAACCTCTGTTACGTTTGCCTTTTAGGAAGATGTAGCGAAAGTATGTAGTCTTCATTTATCCATTGCAAAATTTACTTCTACCAAAGTCTTTGATTGCACGCGACGTGGAACGTGTTAATATCAGTATCTTCCATTTGACAAAATTTTTCGTAAAATTTTTCGCAAAATTTTCCGTAAAATTTTCCGTAAAATTTTCCGTAAAATTTCCTGCCAAAAACGCTACAAAGCAAAGCATTTCGCGACGAAACGAGCGAAGAATAAAGAACTAGCCTGTATTCAGTGGTGCATTCACAAGAAATGCGTGGCTATGGGCACCCGACCGACGGCGGTGCACGGTGGCTGGGGCAAATGGGGTCCCATGAGCGGTTGCAGCAGAAGCTGCGGCGGTGGCTTGAAATTCGCCGAGAGAGAATGTGACAATCCGCCGCCCGCCAACAAAGGCAGATACTGCATCGGAGAGAGAAAGAAGTTAGCCATTTGCAACACCATGGTAAATTCCACTGTCTTTCTATGCGAATCGACCGTGTGTGGTGCCGTTTCGACTTCATTTCTTCCTTACCCTTCTCCTTCCCCTTCCCCTTTCTACTCGATCCTTCTCTTTCTTCTACTCTTCTTTGCTCTCTTCTATTTCCAATTGTGTACGGGATATTGTTTTTCTCACCTCGTTTCTTTCGTTTCTTTTTATATATTTTTCCTTGTCTCGGCCGAGAAAAGATATTTGATTGCAGCGTTAAACAAAATTTTCGTCGAAAAGTAGCTGCAAAATGTTAATCCTCGTTTTTATTTTTTTTTTTTTTAACTCGAATACTATATTTGCGAGCCCACGTGTAGCTTCGTTGTTCTTTCAAACTTATTTTTGTCCAACGTTTGATTTTAGGTTAAAGATTGTAAACTATTGATGTTTTAGCTAACTTTCGTATACTTAAGTCATTGCCGATTTAGGCTTAGCTAAGAAAGGGGTATTTTAATTGCGTTATCTATAGGAGAAATTTTAATTTAAAGTTTCGTTCAGCCCTAAACTCTGCAGCCTAGTTTCACGGAGATCTAGTTAGATGTAGAAGATCGCGTGCGCTCGTGTGTACATGAGCGCGTACTTCATGCAAACCACGATAGCATCCTTATGTTCTTCGTATAACGGCCTATTTCTAGAAATCTGATATATAATATTTATTTTGTATCTTGTATGATAATCTTCGTTTAACGTTACGATGGTCGATTAATTTTATCGTTACCTAGTTCAACGAAAAGAAAGAAGAAACGAAATGTTAGGAAAGAGATTGTTTTCGTAGCTGCGGAAAGGCAGCCGGCGACCTGCTACGGCTTAAACGATCGTCAACGAATTACTCTACTACGGTTCTGTCTCACGCCATTAATCATTTTCGGCTGCACACCCAGCTCTTAACGCTTTTTGCTAATATATCACCCTTTTTGCCGCGTGATCGCTAACCTCTGCGGCAGCGATATATCCCTTTTGTGAAAAACGACGACCCTGCATTGTGCAGCCCTGCGACCATAGGAAACCATCGTATCGCCAGTTGCAGTGCAGTTGGTACAACGAGCGAAAAATCTTGACCGACGGCAAGCATAACTGGACTGCGTACACTATCCACGATCCAACGCTCGATCCGTGCAACTTGTACTGCATCAATGAAAAGAACGTATTCACCAAGTTTCAAGTGGCAAATGATTCTACTCCCTGCAAGGGTGGTACTAACAATATGTGCGTCGGTGGTACATGCAGGGTAAGCAAATATCACGATTACCTCTTGTGTTTTTCTTCCTTCGCTGCGATTGCTGTTTTGCGATTTAATTTCCTCGCAAAGAATCACCTGGAAAATTCGACGTATTGTGTGAGAACGACGAATCGCGTTAATTTAATTCAAAAGACGAGTTTACTATCCTAACTATTAATTTTTCGTACGATTTGCTTCGTTATTTCTTTGCGATTTCTTTCTCAGAATTAAGCAATACTTGTATACTTCGAGATTCTTAGGTTGCATTTCAGTAATATTTTACGATCTGATATTTTTTCTCCGATAGTTTTCTATTACGTATTTATCGAACATTTATAGCTGATCGAGCATCGTATCTTATATTGCGTTGCATCGGTAGCGATTCTAAGAACCGAAAGCAAAGAACCGCAAAAAGTTATTTACACGGATAAAGGATATTTGCCGTTGCGAATTTTTCTCACAGATGTGCAATTCCAATATCGTAGATGTATCATATCGTATGTAGATTAAAACAGAGGAAATTTGCTGAGTAAAATGCCGGAAGCTCGGAAGTACTTTAACAATGTAAATTTAATCAGGAAACAGGAAGACGTATTCGCGTGATCTGCAACGAAAGATCGTAGCGTTCTAGTTTTATGATGCTTTCGTTATAGAAACGAAAGAGAAGATGCCTTGGGTTCGAAATTATTCCCTTCGTACGGTTCGTGCGATAAGTTTCGTGACTAATCTCTCGCACACCTTTCATTACCTTTCTACTAACTACGTTTTATGGCTTAAAAGTATCCTAAAGCTCGTGGGACAAAAATTTAGTTACCTATCTAATCGAGATTGTCAAGTTAGTTACAAACTAATTTCTGATTTATTATTTGCGATCATACCTTGATATTACTCCGTTTACTATAACGTGGGACGTTAAAGGCAGCATCGTAACCGATCGAACTTGATTACTAGCAATTACAGGTTGAAGGGACATACATATAGTACGGTAAGTACTATACCGTTTTCGTTCTAGAAATAAGAGAATCTATTTTTTGCTTAATAAACCGCAATTAAAAGGAAACAGAACCTTTAGAAACGAGAAAGGTATGATATTTTCTAGAAAGTCGGTTGCGATTGGGTGTTGGATTCGAATGCCATCGACGACAGGTGTGGAACGTGCAAAGGTGACGGTACGAAGTGCAAGGCGATAGAAGGTTTCTTCAATGAAACGGGAATTCGCAACAGTAAATTATATTCTTTTCTGTCATCAAAGTTTTCGATTCAAAATTTTCCTATGTCTGTTTCTTCCATTATTTGCAAGTATTTGCAAGTTAAAGCTTTAACGATACAGGTAAGTGTGGAAATAAGAACGTTGGAAACTCTTTTATAATCATTGTTTTTACGAATGTATACGTATGTGTGTCGAAGTACAGCGAGATGTACAAACGTTCGACGACTGTCGAGTGTGAATGGCTAAAAAGTTGAGTTTAGTCCATTTGAAATACTTACGACAACAACGAAATGTAATCTGTTGGTGATTGGAAAATTTTCGAATTCCTAGTGCACGTGAAGATAGTTACTATTCCTCAGGGTGCTCGAAGCATATACGTAGCGGAAATGCAGCCGAGTAAAAACGTACTATCGGTGAGACTCGAGAATAGCGAAACACACTGTTTGAACGAAGACAAGTAATTGCCTATATCGTTATTACAAAATAAACGATGGCGTCTTAAAAATATAATATTATACGTATTATGTACAGAGTGAAAATAATACGTTCGAAGCTGAATGTTTAACTCTAAGAAGTTAAAGATTCTTCCTCGTGTTAACGAACAAACTAAGTTCATCGTATACCGAACGATTTTCTAACGATCGTAGGGTGATATATAGAAGCGGTGATTACGATTGTGCAGGCTCGATTCTCGTATACCTGCATCCTGAGCCAAACAGAGAGGAGATTGAAATAAAGGGCCCTATAACGACACCTATTCGAATAGAAGTATGTATTAATTCCGTGCGTGAAATAGTCGAGATCGTAAATACGAATTTTGATAAACGCCGACTACATCGTTTTAACGTCTTTCCCTCGTGAGTAAGGAAAGTAAAAAAAAATCGAAGGAAAGTAGATTCGTGCGTCGCGTAGCTTCGTCGTCGAACGTAAGAGATTCGCGTAAACGAACGTGAGGTATCGGCATGGAGCTGGCGATTGCGCGGAATATATTTTTTCTCGATGATCGACCATCGTTCCTAAATACCCACATTAACGATTCATTCCATCGTGATGATTCTAGTACGTATTCTTCCACCCGAGACAGAATCCTGGGATTCATTATATATATTACGTGATGTCAACTGACCCGTCGTACAAGCCGAAATACCTGTGGGATTTCATGGAATGGAGCGACTGCAGCGTTAAATGCGGAGGCGGTACGATGGTAATTCGAATATTGAAGTCGACTTAATGATAATTCGAAGAAGCATTATCGCGAATCTGGCACTTGATTCACGCAGCGAAAACGACTTTAACGTTACTATATTACTCTTTTGCTCGGTGTAGATATCGGAGGCAGCGTGTATCGAAGAAAAAGGTGGAAAAGTGAGTCTTGAATTTTGCGATGGCATGTCACGACCAGATCCAAAAAGTAGGGTTTGCAACTCGGAAGCCTGTCCAGCAAAGTACATGCAACCACACAACCATCGACTCTACCATTTCGTGCTATTTACGATTTTACATTTCTCTATCTGCTTACATTTTCCTCCCGAAACTGCGAACAGCATACCTTTAGTACTATCGCGCTGTCTCTTCTTCGACGCAATTTAATTTTAATGACCGAATAAGCGACGATCCTTTCTAATTACCATTACTCGTTTATCGGCGAATATTTACGATCGCTGTATGACGTTTGGAATTGCTTAAGGTGGCGTGTGAGCCAATGGAGCAAGTGTAACGCCTGCGACGGAAAGAAAGGAACGAGGCATCGTAAAGTGCAATGCGTGCGACCCGCTGCTCGTGCCGGCGAGGATGACGTTCAGGCAAATCTGGACGCGTGCAAAGGTCGCGTGCCGAAACAAGAGGAAGAATGTGTAGGTAAGGATGTCGGTGTCGTGCGTGCTTATTGCCGATTTCCATCCAACGAATAACTTTTTCGCAACCTTATGATATTTTAACGGCACCTCGACATTCTTTAGCTGAACGATCAATCTTTCGCTAAATACTTTCTTCGTTCATCGATCACTGGCAATTTAATTGACGTGTCATTCGGATCCATGTAGTTATTCGTACACGTAGAAACCATTTCGTTCGCTGGTTATTTATTATTTCGCTCCACTGATTACCGAAAACCACGTACTCCGTATATATTTTTTTTTCATTCTGGACAATACCATTTTTGCAGTATATTACGATCGTTTGAATTTTTTAAAAAATGGCATATCGCAATATGTATCGTGTTTACAATTGTTTCGTCGACGTTGATCGTGTCCTTTCAAAGCGTATAAACATTTCGATGTAATTCTCCTTCGGTATTCCGTAGAGACTCACAGTGTACATATTATGTTTCTATATATGTGGTGAACGGTGTTTTCGTATGTTGGTAAACGTACGTAGGTGCATAGCACGGATGTCACAGTAAAAGATTTACGATATAATGGAAATAAAATATTGACGCAGTGGCGCGAGAAGGGAAGGAGCGTGTACATGGGGAGTCGAACGAAAAAGCATTTACCGTATAATATTAGAATTGTATTTTCCCTTTGTCGTTCTTCTTAGGACGTGACTTTTATTTCGACAACCATGCATATTTAGCGTGGAAGCCGTAAATCGGAGTCTGCAGCCGATTCTGACTCGCGTATCGATTGATCGAACCGTCGAACTTTCGGTTTTCCCTTACAGGCGAAAGACCGTGCAAGAAGACCTGTCCCAAAAAGGTCCGAAACGCAAACAGGCAACTCGTTGCTTGGAAAGAGAAGAAGAAGAAGCCGCTACCTCACGAGAAACGGGCTAAAATGGTCGACAAGTTGGTGGACTTGAGTTTGGCCGGATATCTGGAGAAAGCGTACGGTATCTCTCGTGAAGCCGATGATATGGGAATGACGGTCGACACGGCGGACTTCCGGCAGCTTCTTCGGGAATGGTCCCTCGCCGACGAGGAAAAGAAGAAACGCGGCGCCTGCGATCGAAACGCGTCTACTCCAAAGCCCGGATCGATCATCAAAGACTCGGTGCCAGTCGAGAACGTGGTGTTGTTGGAAGCGCCTATGCTAGAGGAGGGCCTCCTGTCGAATTTGTCGGATAGAGCGTATCAAGAAGTTGGCGACCTCGTCGGCGGTAGTATCGATACTTCCAGAGTGAAGATTTATAACGGTACGAAGGCTGTCGAGAAGATCGAGAAGCTGGAGGGTCGTAACATTAGCGCGGTGCCTAACAAGAAAGAAAATTATAGTTACGATGCGTTGTCAAGAATCGTAGATTTGGCGAAACGGCGAAAATGAGAAGCGTAACCAATTCTCCATTCGCGTACAAGACAAAGCACTTGACACTGGCATCGTCGATATTTATTATCGATAATTACAATTATCTGACACTATTTACTAATCGATATTTCTTTGATATAACGTTGAAAAGTGTTAATATATCGTCTGATAAAAGTATGTATTAAGAAACATTGATAAATATAGCTAAACTCTTAGGTTACGAACTTTCGTTAAATTAGAGTCAAATATCGGTACGTTTCGCCTTCTATGTATTAATTTAATCGGCGCTGTTGATGGTTATGGAAAAATTGACTCACGTCGACGGTAATTCGATTTCTTTAACATCGTACAATCTCGGGAAATTGAATGGTGAGAATCGAAACGAAAACTCGATTGAAACGACAACCGTTTCTATTCTTCTGCGCGCAAAATTTGTCGATTTTGATTATCGTGCTCTTAATCGACGCAATTATTATTTTAATATCATGACGTTCCATTTTACAACAAAGTTGCTTTACACCGCTTTGATCGGCGTTGCAGATTTAAAGATACGATCCGTGATTCCGTGAATGATACCGACCGATCGCTATATTCGAGAAGGATAGGATTTTCATATCGCTACACTATTATCGAGTGCAAAGTAACTTTTGTTATTTGTTTATTGGTGGACGTCGTTTCGAAGCAGCTTCGGCGTCCTCTTGAATTTTCTGTATATATCTGACCGCATCCATACCAACTAAAGTAAATTCCGTGCTATTGCCTGGCGGTTGGGGCTCGAAATTCTTAGGAAAGTTGAGGGCGTCGTTTGCTTCGTCGCGTTCCAAGACGATGGTGAGCGTTAAATTTGTAATATTTTCCGTGTCGATCACCACCTCGCCTTTCTTCACGCTGTCATGTTTCTTTACTTCCATATCTTGCTTCATCCGAGTTCCCAATTTCCGTTCAGAGAAACGTTCGTCATCTAAATCATACGACGGATAATTGCTTTCACTTTCCTGTTCTTTTTTCATGCATAACGTTACGCGTCGATAAATAAATGAAAATGCCGTAGAAATAACTACGTATTAAGGAATGAAATTGGACGAAAGATCCTAATGGTAGAATTTCCAAGGAAATATAGAAACACAGAAAAAACTAGTCGAGCGAGGTCGATTGAATCATTTTAGCGGGCTCGAACGCTTGGTAGTCGTGTTCACCTTCGGTGATTGATTTAACGACGCGATTGATCGTTAGATTACTGGACGGAGGAAAAGCGAGACTGAGAGCCGGTACTTTTGTCCTTTTGCTCGTGTTTCGCGAGAACGTTGTCTCGTTTCTCTCGGCTAGTGCACAACTCTCGTTCTTTCGGCTTCGGTCCTTGACAGTAGCTGTCAGCGATAATATCTACATCCAGCTCGGAGTGGCCGACAGGACGTACACATTTGACGGCTCGTCTCTTCTCGCAACCAACGACGCAGGATGTGCAACCTTGCCAGTCACCGATCATCCATCTGCGATAAACATCGTTACGAGTAGCAACGTAAGTTTCAACGAATTAGAATAACTAGATGGATCGTATTCTCCTTGGACGAAATCTCTCGTCGTCGCGCGAAGGATCTTTCGATCTTTTTCTCGACGTTCGGCCATCACACGGACAAACATTGCTCGCTTTCTGTCTTAGGTTTCTCGGCTTTGAAACTCGAAACTTACAACGTTATATATCAACGAGGACATCGTGATTGAAATTTTAAGCAATTCGGCGGTATTCGCTCGACTTTTGGAATTTTCTAATTAAAAGTATGTAACGAACGTGTCGCTCTAACCTCGGCAGGCAGGGTGCTCGATAACAGGGTCTCACTTCTTCCTCCGGTCTCGGGATGCTCTTACAGAACGTCTCATCCACGATGCCAGCGAGTTTCTCCAAGCAACGAGGCTTGGAAATCTGTTCACCGGGTCCGCAATTCGCGCTGCACTTCTCCCAGTCGACGAAATCCCATGAAAACTCCGGCTTACGAGGGCTCTTTTCTTTCACACCGAACGAATACCTCACCGTCACGTTTTCTTTCGGCAGAATCTATTCGATGAAACAACTTACTCGGGCAACGAAATTATGCCGAGTACGTAGCAACGAAACCACTTTTCCACAGTTCAGGGGAAATATTCCAGGCGAGCAGTTGTTCGTTGGTAAACACAGTTACGTAGGTAAAAAATATTATAACGATAAGTACGTTACGATAATCAGAATTATTATAATTTCGCGAGAATCTCTGCTCAAAGGGATATAGACGCGAGTGTCAAATACGAATTTACTATTCGGGTAAATACGTTGACTCTCAGTTTTCGAAACTTGGTTCGAAAGTTCCGTGATTTCTAACGATAAAAGAACAATTACGTTTCGTAATCGAACGATTCGGTTGGAGAACGAAGGAATCTCGTTGGATTTAAGCAACCTGCTCGTTTGTCGTTGGTAGTAGCAGCAGCAGCAAAGATATCAGGTCGAAACGTAACGTTCCTTTCCAACGACCGCTTGGAAGATTTTACGAATAGTGTCGCGTAAGTTCGAGTGGTAGCGATAGAAGCAGGCGCAAATATCGCGTAATAGCAATTAGTAATTAGTTAGGTGGCGTTGAACAGAACTTTCTTCGTCTCGCTGCTCAAAATATGAACGCGTAGCACGACTCGATAAGAAGTGTCCAAATTTGGACACCGTGTTCGAGATACCTTATCAATCTGTCAGGCTGGCTAATTAGAGGACCGCGTTCGTTATGTTTACCAATATAAGCAAATCCTTCGTGACTGGTCCCGGTATGCTGAGAACCTCCTGACTCGCTCTTATCGTTCCTAGCCACGCCCTCGTGCCCGCCACATCGAACATTCCTAAACGATCCCTGAAATGATCGTACATAATGAAAAAACAAAAGCAACGAATAAATGCGCTTGAATCAAACGTACGCTGAATGCACAAAGTACATATCTCACGAGTAGGAGCACGAAGTACGTCTGGAGAGACTCGTGTTCTTTAATCGGACGTTTTAACGATCAATCGACGCATTTCTTTTCTCTCCTCCGCGTTTCTCTAAACGACGCCATTCTTAAAGAACCGATCGACGTTAAGTATGAAAAATAAAAGATAAAACAACGTTCTATCGGTTTTTACGGTACGGTGATATAAAATCTACGATTCCTTTAAAAGGAATACGACGAAGAGAGGAAATATTTTACTCTTTCGAGAGTCAAGGTGTTCGAGTTCTTTAGCGGAAGTCAATTTACCCATCAATTAACGGTTTTCCGTCTCTGGTCCTCACCACTATCCTGGATTTAGAGGGCTCGATCTCCTCTAGCCGGACGTTGGTCGCGCCGACCGGGACGTCCACTACTTTCCTCGGCTCTGCCATTGAAAGTTTTCCCCTCTCGATTATTAGAAGTTTTATACCGAGTGGGACGTGCAGTATCGATTCGGGGGATCGCGAATACGAGATTTATTCGCCGATAGGTTATATCGGTCTGGTTCGAAAGCCGAGGGAACGGATGAGATTCTTCGGGAAATACCTTGGAAAGTTCTCGCACTTTTCACGGATCTAGTGCCTTTATCCGCGAGGAATTTCAACTTCCCTAGCCGGCGTTTTATTTATCGCGATTAGAGATTCTTCCGTGTCTAAAAACTTTCGCCGGCTTTTATATTAAATCAAACTCTCGGCATTTTTTGATCGGGGCATAAACTATTCTTCTCATACCACGTTCCTCTCTTTGCCTTTACGATTCAAACCGACGAGTTTCTACAAATTTAAATTAATTTTCCACGGAAAGTGCCTAGTCGTACGATGTAGAAAACTTTCCGATCGATAAAGTTGTATGCCAACGACGAGGTAAAGCGATCGAACCTAAAATAAAAACGTATGATATTTTTTAAGCGACCAGTTCGACGCTTACTCGTAGCTCTTGACTTTCGGCGATTCCTAATAATCTTGCAAAGGAAAACAATTTTAACGATATTGGTATATCGTTATAGAAATATCTAGAAAACGAAATAAAAGCAGACGTAATTAAAATAACGCGTAGGTACGTTTGAAAAATGCGCATGAATAATTCCTCTTGGAGGATAGTGCGCTGCCCGAAAGAATGCCGAACGACCCACCTCAGTCGGTAATAAAACGTCGGAATAACTGTAAAACAAGTTATAAAGACTAAAGGCCGGCTAATACGATGAAACGCGCGACGATATTTCGAAAAGGGAAGAAATCATCTAGAGGAAGAATCGGGTAATTACACTCACGAGACGCCGGACCGATCGTTATCACGGCCTCCTTCAGGCTACACGAAGTGCCATTACCCTTACAGACGCCACACGCATCTTCCACGGCGTTCGACTCCATATTCAGGTCGCAGGGAATCTCTCGACAGACACCTCCGATGCAGATGTCCCGAATACTCCTGTAGCAGGTGGTCCCGTCGATGACTCTCGGTCGGAGCGAGGCCACCACGTTCGTTTCGCTTAAACAGTAAAGGCCGCACGGATTTTCCGAAGCTTGTAGATCTGCCGATCGACTCGTGTAAGTGACTTATATAGCCGGAGACGATGTATCGACGAAGAATTCGATATATCGAAAAAGCTAGTTACCCTCGGGTAGCTTGTAAGCGGTCCATCGATGAAGTTTCCCGTCTTCTGGAAAGATCCAGTTATCGAACTCGCTGCACTGGACGTCGCGGAAGGACGGCGCGTCAACGTCGCACGGCTGGAATTCAGTAAAAGTTTTAACGACGAACATGGTGGTTGTGCAAGGTGACCCAACTTGAGATTGGCTTGGAATAACATAGGAAAACGGTTACGTAGATATCGGTTGAAAATTCTACGTCGACGGCGAATAAATCTGTACATCGTAACGTCGTATCGCTTGATTTGCTACGATTCTCTCGGATTCGACGAACGAAACGCATTTTCAGCGAATGTTTTCAGAGTAAAGCGTTTTTTTCGAGAGACGCGGTTTTTTCTCGGAAGTCATGGAAACGATAGCGATTTAGATCTTGTAAGCTTAGTAAAAATGTTTTCCGTCTTTCGAATTGGAGTATATACGACGAGTTACGCGTTACGATAAACGAAGCTTTGATAAGCTTCGATTTTACCGTAGAATATATTTCTGTCCGATATATCTCTGCTTGGCTTTTCCGGTGTTACTAACCTTCGTGGCGCATATTTTATGACGTTTTCTGTCACCGCGACAG